TATAATTGACTGCAAATGGAAGATGAACTTTAAAGTGTTGCCCTTATCTTTCTTAAATACTGATAAAGATAAGATAGTTTAACAAAAACACTTAATGTCTTAGACTAATTGTCTACATAGAAAATATCTCCCATACAATCTGTTCATGGAAACCTGTGTCAGCAATAATTTTGCATATTTATTATCTACTAGCTAGTCTCGCGCGGTTTCACCCGCTGCTCGGCTCCTACAGATCGTAGCGTGATGTTTTATAGCCTATAGCACTCAGGAACATTGTAGCTATCTGTCAGTGCAAGAATTTTGGAAATCCGCCCAGCGGTTCCAAAGATTACCCCTACATACAAACTTACAAATTTTACCTCTTTATAATATTAGTATATAGGTAGATAACATATATGTTTATTGTATATTATAAGATAAAATAATTTTAATTTATTTAAGGCATCCACCAGCTAGACGTTAAAGTTGATTTTTACTTAGAAAACAAAATAGTTCTACGAAAACTTAAATATTATTTTAAATCTTTAGACAAAACGGAATAAGTTACTTATACACGAATACCAAAGTTTTCGAAGTACCATAATACCTGGTAAAGATAGTACCGTACCTACCGTCAGATAAGATAATAAATAAATTATTTAATTAATTTGTTTTGTTAGCTATCCCTATCAATAAAATTGGGTGTCTACTTAATTTATATTGATTATATTGGTTATAACTTGTAGTATGCAATAATGTCACTTACAAAATTATGTCTTGCATGAGGTTTCATCGGCTCACTATAGGTATAGTAGGTATACATATAAGAGCGAATGACATCTGACGAAAATGCGTCGCGTAGGTATACCGCGCATATAAATATGCTTTGTGTACCTACGCGAAGAATTTTTGAGAAAGTGTGTATATATGTTATTTTCTATTCCGTGATATACGTACAGACTTACTCCGTGGTCGCGTATCATCGTACCTCCCAGAACATACTAATATAATAGGTATATAGTTACAAAAGCATCCGACGTTTCACATCTGTGAATGTAATAAACTGTGTGATTACGTATCACTACCGTACTACCCAGTTATGCTTGTCCTTTTACTTACGAAGTTAAAACTAACAAGCAAACCATAATGTACTTCTCCACCGATAACTTTAAGACAGATTATAATATACTAGTTTCAGTTGAATTAGAAACTACTCGGGTATATAAATAAAATCATATTACCATGTGCCTTAAAGAATGTACCTATCACTATTAAGTTAAGATACACAAATATTGAATTTATATAACATAAACTGAAATATAAATCTACCTAGATAAATTTCTACTAAATACTTTTCTCTTTTTATCTGCAGTCCCTGATAAAGTACTTGGCCGAAGCACATCGCGGAGCGCACGGGTTTGTGATGGACGAAAATGGCAACCCTGTGGAACGCGCCGCTATCAAAGTGAAAGGTCGTGACGTCACGTACCACACCACCAAGTATGGAGAGTTCTGGCGCATACTACTACCTGGAACCTACAGAATTGATGTAAGACAAGACTTCAATAATTAAAGCAGGCTAAAGGCATTTTACACCCAAACCCAAGAGTGACATTCCCGCCCTACCCAGGGCGGAGGAAGCCGTTGGATTTCCAAACCAAAGAAAACAAAACAAAATATATTTTATCTGTGTAAAGGATGGTCTAGTAAGAGCTGCAGAATAATCCTTATATAAGTTATAAATGACAACAGGTATCTAAAGTAACTACTAACCTCTGAACACGTTTAGTATTCTCGAGTGGGTACTTAGGCACGCGATTAATGAATTGTGCAATCTATCACGTAACTCTCAAAGCTCTAAGGATTATTTGAAATAGTAGGTACTGTCGTTATGGAATATTTTTACTCAGTTTACTTCACCTGGGTAGGTACTATAAAAGAATAGCCTGTGTAATATATCTTAAAGATCTATCTGACTTAAAATACTTTTAATATTTGCGCTTACAGGTTTCAGGCGAAGGATATCTCCCTCAAGAAGTTGAGTTCATCGTCATAGACAGCCATCCTACTTTATTGAATATTACTCTACATTCAGCTAAGGTATGTTCTATCTATATATGCAGGAGCACTGATATGCATCGATACACGCATGTAAATAAATTGTAAATATCATGTACATACTTAAGCACTAACAGCAAAAAAATAATCATAGTAGGTACTGTAACTTACAAAAGCCACTTGAAAGTGCGATGGCTTCCGAAATCGACATTCAGCCCATTTGATCAGCTACCTGTCCAGAACTACACTATAGGAGATTCTTTCAGAATGCCTGGTATTCCTCGGTTCTTATTGTAAATATATCTGTAATATAGTGTCACTAGTGGTGGCGTGATAATGATTACTTAGTTTTTGTAACTCCTTAGGGTTACATATCGAAGGCGGTAGGCGCTCCACCAGCTACATCAGTGAAGACCACATCCCTACCTACTGCAACTACCTCTCCTGTCCAAGATGGTGCTATTATTTTCCCTGAAGACTGATTTTGAATGACTATTACGTACAAAAATCGATAGTTTCAAATTGCTTATGTTGTGGATTACGAGGTTTGCACAGCATTGCATAAATTATTTTTTGTCGGTTTTCAAAAATAGCTAATTTATTTATTTTCTAAACACATACCTAAATTTCTTCACGATTTCATTTGCGAATCGCAAATCGAAAGTATGAGTTCTCTGCATCTGCCTATTACATTTACTCAAATGACAGTGTTCGCGGTAAGTGCTTGTTCTGTGTGCAATCTTCGTAAAAAAGTTTATAAAATTAATATTATAACGTCGAAGTACCTGTAATCAAATATCACCTAATTTTAAAAACGCAGTGTAATAAATATCTATGAATTTAAGTGTAATATTTACCTTAGACTTGCTTGCTTAGTAGGTAGTGTTACTTAATATGAATAGGATAGTGGACTTATATAACTATTATCTATATTTAGATAGGTAGATATATACTGACTAGGTACCTATACTCGGGTTAGGTAGTAATTTTTAGTTTTCAGATACCTATACCAACTTAATGTGGTAGGTACAAGGAACCAACATTAAATCAAAGATGTTCTTACCGATTGTTTAAATAACGTTCATTTTTCGTATCTTTATCATAGCACAGTTTATAACGATCTGAATGAATACCTGACTCATTAATTATCTATAGGTAAACAAATTCAATGTCTTGTTCAGAAAAATTGTCAACTAACCTATTACTAGAGTACAAACGAACGAAAATTGCACTATTGTGATCATAAGTAGGAAATAGAACAATAAAAAGAAAATATACATACCTATATGTTGCTCAATTTTTAATAACTAGTTACTAGATAAGTAATGCCCTTTTGTAGCTTGGGCTGAAATATTTTTTACAGAGGTTCTTTCTTTAAATACAATTATGCGAAAAATTTGAGAAGCACAAAACCCGCGCTCAAAAGCATGTGAGAAAATAAAGATTCGATTCACTTTCGGTAATATAATCATACATACAGCATCTTTAATTAGATTCCTACAGTCGCGCGGTACGAAGGTAGGTACATGGGTTACCTACATTTGCTCAATTTGTATTTTCATTTAGTTTTGTGATACCTTTAATCTTGAATGATTTTAGCCCTGTTCTGCTTCTTAACTAGTGTATCCAATATTTTATTGCTAACATTTGGGCAAGTTATTATCTGTTTAAATGGTCATGGTGCAGTTTATGACTAACTGTATGAGCGTAAGTATAAACGTGCAAAAGTGCTCATTAGTTTTTAAACACGTTGGATAGAGGTGTGTGTTTATACATGATTGAGTTTACGGGTTTTTTACGGTGTCAAACTAAATGCATGTTAGATATTAGTTGATTGTATACAGATTCTCTGTAAATATATTTTTGTTATTTGTTTGTAAATAGTTGCAGGTAAGTAACTTATTTTGTGGTGTACATATTATATCTTTAAGTATGCATATGCATACCTATAAATAAATAAATTTGCTTTAGCCCGTATTTTATATTAACACGATATGTGTTTATTTTTGGCTTAACGATTTAATGTTATTCAAAACTATCGGACAGTAGATATAACGATAAATAAATAACACTAAACGTGTGGTATTACAGCGCATAGACGGCGGACCTTACTACCGGCCAGTGGCGCTCCCGCCTCGCGTTCCTGTGGCGCCCCCTGCATCGCCCGGCATCTTCGCATCACTTAGTAACTCCTTCAATAGCATCGTGTCTAATATTTTCGGATAAACACTTACACGCAATGTTAATATTTTCTTCAAGCAAATATCGCTCATAATTTTAGCAGTTAGGTACTTTTCTCAACTGATTTAGATGGAATAGAAAAGTATAATTTATTTTCTGTTAGTTCCAATATGGCGGCCAAGATGGCGAACTGAACGAATTAGGTAAAATTATTTATTACAATATTTCTACTGGTAAGAATTAAAAAGAAATAATTTTCATTGTTGTACAATCAACTACTTAAAGGTATATCAGTAGAACATGGTGAATTCGTGAAGGAGTGTGTTATACTTTGAGGTATTTCTACAGAGGTAGTGCATTTAGTAGATAATTATGTTGTATTGAAGATAGTATAGGAAACATATCACGAATTTGAACTCATTCCACAAGACTTATTGTTACTGGATATATTTAGGTCTAATTTTTAGATACCTACTTAGATAAAAATAGGTTTAATCTAATAAACAACCAGACTCTATGTATGTTGTTGAAGGTGTACCTAATTTATTAAACTTTTAGGAACTTTCCGTGCGTTAGGTAGCTGCCTATTTCTAAGACAAAATCTTCGAAATAAAAGTATTATTAAGAAAACTGTAAATACAAAATAGCAGATAAGATTATAAAATAAAAAATATAAAATTTTGAAGGCCTCTTGTTTTATTATCTACACTCACAATGTCTTGATCAACTAACATTACATAGATAGCAAAACACGACTTTTTAATAATAAGAGTTCAATTTAATACAATAATGACAATTTTATCATGATGTGTCGGTTGTGCCAATTTGTACTTGATCTCTAGCGATTTGGAAAGCGGCAATGAGCGCTGCCAGTTCGATTCGTTCGCTGCAACCTGATGCTAGACGCGCCTCAGCATCTGACATCTTTATAAGCAGAGACACCAGAACATCAACTGGTAATTTTACTGTAAAAATATTAGCAAATTAATAATTTATTAGGGAAACATTTACTTGGATGTGAATTATATGAGACACAATCTTTATCACTGATACTAAAAACAAAGGCTATTTAATCAGCCACTTCATACTCTACATACTACTCACCTCTTTGGATTATCGTGTGCACTTCGGTTAAAATGTCGCCAAGCGCCAAACCTTTAGCTAGTTTAAGATCTTGAATATCTGCACAAGTTCATTAAGGAAATTAAATCTAATTAAATGTTTCAATGAGCACATTTTCTTTGAATGCGGTTGACCTATTTATAGCGAACATTCGCTATCAATATACATTAGGTAATGTACTGGCTGTAGCTTAAAGGTTATTTCAGCGCTGTTTATTCTATACTTAGCAATAACTTATAACCCGCCAAGTAAGTGGGCGACGTAGCCTGAGCAAATCTGCAACATTATTGACATCACAAATGCGTTGCGAACCTTGCAGAACTATTAAATTCCACTCTGCATCAGCTTTAATTGGGAATTATATAAAACCCTATAATGAGCCAACATCAGTTGATTACTGAACTTTACTTCAACACACACACATGTAGTATAATATGTAGGTATACATGTAAAATTGGAAAGGATACTTTGGAAGCAAACAGCGAAATCATTTTCAGTGAGCAGCCAGTTGAATATTTTCGTAATGTCAGAGCGTAGTGGATGTCCCACGCAGGTGTAGACGTTATCTTCTGTGACGTCACGGTACGCAAGCCAAGTACTTTGCAAAGTGTTTAGCACTTTCCTCATATCCCCACCGGAGAGAGCCAGCAACGCTTTTACACCGTCTTCCGATAATTTCACACTGAAAATTAATATCAGTTTATATTGTGTTGAACTCATCACAAGTGGCCACTAATAAGTAATATGATTTCTCAAACATTTTTACAAATCGACTCAATCATCCCAGTATTTGAATGATAAAGTTACGTCAAAACATTAACTTTAATCAAATCAAACCGATGACACAACCACAGCGTTGTGTTTTGCCGTGTGAATGAGGTTACTGGAGACCCCTCCCCTATCCCCTCCCAATCCTTAAATATCTGCAACCCTTATCCCCAAAAGGCCGGCAACGCAAAAGTAACTCCTTTGGTGTTGCGGGTGTCCATGGCCGGCGCTGATTGCTTACCATCAGGTAATCCGTGTGACAGTTTGACGACTAATGCCATAAAAAAAAACAGCTTGTAACAATTTAAATAAAAATTATAAAAAATAAGTCACGTACTTTTCGGCTGCTGCAATTTCTTTCAATCGTGGCACTATCTGACTCTGTTGTAGTGGCGCGAAGCGAAATCGTGTACATCTTGACTGGAGAGCTGGTATTATTTTACCCAAATAGTTGCAAATTATGCAGAAACGCACGTTTTCTGTGTACTTCTCGATGACTGAAACAGTTTCAAATATATCAAATGTAGCGCAGAAATTACATACACACAAGTATATTTTTATTATATTCCTCACCAATTACGTGCAGAATAATAAAAAAAAAACATATAAAAAATGAAAACCCATGTATGTAATAAATAAATAGTTTTATTGTATGCTGCATATTGTCGACGATGCTTTGCGTTGCATTCTTCTCATAGCTTTCCTGTTCATAATTAATGATTGCATAGATTCCGAGTGAGCTGACGACGCAGGTCCATGCGGAATAGGTTCTTTGGGAACCGCAGACCTGCTCTCTACAAGGGCTGGCGGTAAACGATGCACCTTTACACCCATGACTCTAGCAACGAGCGTCGTGAACGCGTTGCTCACCTGAAAGTAAATAGTGATTCGATAATCGCAAATAAACTCTGTATGATCTATTTTTTAATGATTTATTGATTGTTCAGGTTTAAGACAAATAAGTACCTTTAACTTATACAAATGTGGGTAAGGTATTGCCCAGTTTAGAAACACTCTTAACAAACAAACATTATAATAATATTGTCGACATGTGGGATGTAGACTCTGTATGTATGTGGTGTCTGCCAATGTTCTCATGGCTAAAAGCCTTGATTAACACCTAAGCAGGTTTACGTTAGATGGTTGGGTCAAGAAAGCTGATGCTGCTTTTTATATTTTTAAGTGATTTTATTTATGTTTTGTGAAAATATTTAAAAATGTAAAAATCAAGTTTAAAAATAAATACAGTATAATAATATTAATAAACAGCCTGTATTGCACCATATTTAAGTATTAAAATCGACTTACCATCTCTCCAGTTCTTGCGGATCCTTTAAATGTTTCCAATAAATGTTCGGATGCAAATTTTTGTACACAAGATAATCTCACAGCCCTCTGGTGCTCTAAATCAGACTTATTGCCAAACAGAGCCATCAATGGCTTTGTCGTTTCTATTTCAAATATCTCCTTCACTCTCTGTATCCATATGGCTAACTTGTCAAAACTCTCTAAATTTGTAAGGTCGTAAACAAATAAAATAATCTGTAAAAAATATTTTACTTTAGTTAATTTTGGATCTCATACAAAATCAAAAACTCATTTTCGGCAAGCATTGCTTGAACAACGCAAACAAGCAACAAAACATTTAAAAACATAAACGGGGATCTACTCTGTTATATGTATAATATGGTTCTTGAAAATAAGTATACTAATATATCCATTTATTGATTCACTTTGTTACGCATGTTATCAAGGTCTTACATTAGAATCGTACAGATAGTTAGCCAACATTTTTGTCTGGAGTGCGTTGCCCGCTACATCACACAGTTGTAGGGGCACCGGCGGACGCAGTCCTATGCACTGGCCTGCCATCACCTCAGCACCCTGCGTGCCTCCCACCGGTGCGATGCTATTGCCGCCCAGGTACCGATGGCATAGGCAACTCTACAAAACCAATTACTTTAATACGTAGCACCATTAAGTCGAAGGTCAAACAGGAAAACCTTCATAAGATAGGAAATAATACCTATCCTTCCTTGAAACCCGCTCTAAATCCTAAATTCCTTAAAGTAACTAAGCATTCTTACTCAAGGTCTAAAAAGATCTCTTGTATTTTCTTTTAAAATTTAATGTGTCCTTAATGTCCAAATCTACCCACCTAAGCTACAGAAAAATTACGATTTATAGTAATTAAACGGAATGTGTTTGCAATTCGAAACCCGGCTAAAATGCAGAATATATGCATTTATTCTTTCTGTAGACAAGATAGTTTATTTTTTGTTTTGATCAATCTTGAACATGCCTCATGGCCTTACAAAATTAAGTTACCTACGCTTAATGGCTAATTTAATTAACTACATAGTTTATAAATTGATAATAACATAGAACTGTGTGGACTATTACTTGAAAAAGTTATTATTAGAACAGGGACTTACTTTTCCAGTTTTAGGTTCGCCGAGAACAGCAATCTGGATTGTTTTGGACTCGGCCTCGTCCTCTTGATTATCATGCATCGTAACCGACACATTAGACACCGCACTTTTTAAAACCGAAACAAATCACAAATACTTTTTCATCGTAAAATACAAGAAACTTCAAAGTTGCGTGTGCTAGGTACCTATTGTAGTTACTTTGTTTTCATAAAAATTGCCATGGCAACTTAATACTTGTAGGTATGTATAAAAACAGCAAAGTGTATTACCGCATTATAAGCAATCAAATTAAGGTAAGAAACTTAATAGACGATTGAAAATTCTCACGCAGGACGTAAGATTGGTGAATGAACTACTTATGTATGGGTATTTCATTTTAATTTAATTGAGTATATGTATAGCATTATAATAATCTGCTGCAGTAATTATAACTAAACAACATGTATATAAAGCTCCAGACTATATGAGTTTCTACGAAAATCCTTATATCAATTATCTGGAAAATTGAATCCACATAAGATGGTGCATCTCCTGGTGTCCCTACATTTATGCCAGTGTCCTTTATTATGGTCATATTCAGTTTACCGTTATGTACTATTATTTAGTATATTATATGGAATTTGCTCTTGAATTGCTATTCATCAAATAATAGAAAGAGTGGCATGGACTGGGCACAGGTGTAGTAGTTTAAATACAGCTACCCTGTCAATCTGCAGTTGACACTAATTGTTATTCTGGATCCGGGTGTTGATGAGTATATAAAATTGTATGTTTGTGACAAACGCGAAAAGCCAATTATAGGAAAATGTAACTAATGAACTAAAATTAACTTATTGCCTAAAAAAATACTATTCTTATTAGACTTTAATGGATAATTTTATTGCCGGGTCTACAATAAAGTATTTTTACTACAGTTGTTTTTTTTTTTGTACTTATTTTAATAGGTCTTTACCTATGAAATTGCCGCTCTGCAGTACTGGCCATTTCAAATCAAAATAGTTTTTGTTTGGCTAAGAATTCTAATTTCAAATTAATTGGGTTTTAAAATAATGGGATTCTTTTTCCAAAAGTAGTCATTTGTTTATTGATTAGTGTTACATTTTCATCGCATTTAAATCTGTTTCGCCATCATGGATACGTTAAAATTCGAGTAATTATGGAATATGAGTTCCGTCGTGGCAGCAACGCGGCACAAGCGGCACGCATCATCAACGACGTTTACGGAGCTAACACAGTAACACTACAAACCAACGCACCACCTGTTATTGGTATGCTCGCTTCCGTTCTGGGAATTTCGACTTGAAAAATGAACCTCGCGGTCGTCCGAAGACTTTGGTTGACAATGACGAATTAAAGGAGATTGTGGAAGCTAATGATACACAATCTACGGCTGAATTAGCAGCAGCTTTCGACGTTAGCGTCAAAACAATATTGGTCCATTTGCGTCAAATTGGCAAGGTAAAAACACTTAACAAATGGGTGCCCCACGAACTCAATGATCGCCAGCGCGAAGTACGCGTCGAGACGTACCTTGCACTGCTCAACAGACACACAAATGAAGGAATATTGAACCGCATTGTTACCTGCGATGAAAAATGGATTCTATTTGATAACCGCAAGCGCTCAGCAAGGTGGTTGGATCCTGGTTGAGCACCTAAGCAATGCCCTAAACGAAAACTTACCCCTAGAAAAGTGATGGTCACTGTTTGGTGGTGTAGCGCCGGTGTGATTCACGACAGCTTATTGCCGAACGGGATGAGCATTACTGCAGATGTATACTGTGAAGAATTGAACACAATGATGGTGAAGCTGGCACATTTCCAACCAGCATTGGTCAATCGCTCTTCTCCACTGCTCCTGCACGACAACACGCGCGACCTCATACTGCACAACAGACGGTCTCCAAGTTGCAAGACCTGGGGTTGGAAGTTCTCCGTCATCCACCCTACTCACCAGACCTTGCGCCTATAGAATACCACTTTTTCCAGAATTTGGATAACTTCTTGGCGGGAAAAAAATTCAATACCCGAGAGGCAGTACTTTGAAAAATTTTTTGCTTCCCGTCCAGCTGATTTCTTTAAGAAGGGCATCAATAAACTGCCGCTACGTTGGCAAAGATGCATTGATTGCATAGGTGATTACTTCGATTAATACAAATAAAAAATACATAAAAAAATCATTTAAATTTTTTCATGCAAAATGGCTATTTCATAAGTAAAGACCTAATATCACCTAAAATTTAAACTTTGCCTGAAACAATAAAATAAAAGATTTGTGCGAAGTCCGATTCCGAGATAATATTGTTCTTCTCCGGTTAAAATTAATTGGTTGAATTATCAACATAATAAAATCAATATATTGATAGCTTAAAGCATAGTTCTCAATTAACTAGGGGCTCATTTTAATATTATAAACATAAAGTGTTCAAAACCCTGGTACCTCACCATCAAGATGTTTGTACATAATATGGGCAGAAAATAATAAACATTCTATGATTAATAAAAAAAGAAATGTGAAGTAAGTGTAATTTTTTTTTGACATTAATAGGGTTTCTCATAAATCATGGTGGTCTAAAACTTTTGCCTGGGAGTGTCATTTTACACTCAGCTCAGACCAATGTGGGTGAATATGGAAGTGTACAAAATAAATATAAGGCTTGACAAGGTAAAATGTCTTTTTTTCAGTCTGAATTAAAATGTGTGACATGATTTACTTATCGGGGAGTAAAAGAAAATAATCAAAGACTTTATAATATTAAAAAGAGAAACAATAAAACTTACTTCTTCTGAGAGCATTTTGTGCATCATTAGTCATAGCATCAGCTTCATCCAATATTATCAACTTAGGTCCTGCTTTAAATATAGTTCTTGTTGATGCAAAGCTTAGAATTTGCCCCCTCACTATACCTATGCCACGATCATCAGATGCATTTAATTCTAAAACCTATGGATTCAAACCAGAATATGAATAAATAAAGGATAGGACATCAGAAACATTTTGATCAAGTTATATCAAACTACTTACCATTGAATTGAATTGTTGTGGTGTGTACATCTGTCTAGCACAAGCTAAAATTGTCGACGTTTTCCCAGTTCCAGGAGGGCCATAAAATAATAGATGAGGTAGTTGATTCTCCTTCATAAACTGGTTTACTGGAATATTTGAAAAAAACACACATCAGCGGATTGTTAAGTTGAATGATTTACATGCTTGGTACTTTGAATATAATAGTATAATGAGTAAAAACTTACTTGTTTTAATTATATCGTCGTGAGAAATTAATTCTTCAAGTTTTGAAGGACGATATTTTTCGACCCTGAAATATTAAATAATAAACGTACATAAATAAACTAAAACAAAGTTTTCTAATGAATACCCGGCAATAGCAGCAAGTTAAGTTATAATCGACGTATGACGATCACTGGTCTACTGACCATGGTAGATTCTTGCTAACTTCCCCTACAGTCATATTTTCAACACTGAATTCTATGCCGAACGTTAAATCCTTCAATAAAGCGAGTGAAATTATATGAGCTCAAACAAATTACAGAGAAATTACGAAAAGTATAAATAGGTACATAGGTACACAACACACACAATGTCAAAAGTCAAAAATGTCAAACAACCCGCCAAATTCCATATTTTTAAACCGTCAAATAATTAATCTTGATATCTCGTATATTTAGGGTTGAATATTACCAAAGTTGTACAGGGTATAAATAATACTTTTCCCAACCCAAACCCAAGCATAAACATGAAACCCATAGCCTTGCAGTCACACTACTACTTAAACAGAAGTAAATTTGTTTGTCAATTTTTTTTTTACTTGAATTTTATTATTTTGATTGATCGTAGTGGCCCTGGTATCAAAACTTGGAAGTACAATGTGACATTTTTTGATAATTATGTACTTTCTATTATTGTTTTAGACACCACTGAAAGTTTGAAATCGCCAATTCGCCTTGAGCTTGCCCAAGCATGGTATTGATACTCAAATTCTCGCTGCGAGAAGACGTCTTAGCTCAGCAGTGGGCTAACGATGTGTTAAGAAAGATACAAATCAAAATTAACAGTGGTTAAATTTCGGTGGTTTCGTAAAGATTTCTATGTTCTTGTTGCTCCTTATAAATTTAGTCGTTTTCTGATAAAAATAAATAAGCATCTCCTTGGGCTCGCGATTTTTACTATTAGAAAAATTCTTCTTTCACATATTTGGTACCTATTTCTGACTATAATTATCGACAAATTATGGAGTTTACTGGAAATTCTTCTATTACCGGAAGTAGGTTTTTATTATAATCAATAGACACGCGACATACAATAACTAACGACATAAAACACTTTGCGGGAGAGCCATGCACGTATGGCTCTCGACCGGAATGATACCACGGCCTCACAGAAAACCGGCGTGAAACAACCACAGCGTTGTGTTTCGCCGTTTGAGCTAGGTTACTGGAGGCCTAATCCTTCTCCTCCCCCAATCCCTATATCTCCAAATCCCTAATCCCCAAAAGGTCGGCAACGCACTCATAACTCTTTTGTTGCGGGTGTCCATCGGCGGCGCTGATTGCTTACCACCAGGCTATCCGTCTGCTCGTTTGCCGATCTAATACTTAAAAAAAATAACCCAGTTCACCACCGTTATTTAAAAAAATCCTGTACCGCCGCCCATTTATCCATACTTATATCTTCTCGTCCGTGTCATTTACAAACACAGAAATACACGTGTGGGAGAGCCAAGCTTCGGCATGAATGGGTCGGCTGGAACCACACCTGTGTGTTTCGTCGTGAGAGTGAGGTTAAGCGAGCCCCAGTCCATCTCCCTGCCAACCCTTAAATATCTTAAATAATGCGGCGTCAGCATTGTTTGTTATGCTGACGACACGCTGGTGCTGGCGAATGGGAGGTCACATCAGGCGGCGGCCGACCTGATGTCGCAAGCGGTCGCGACAGTCGTAGCAAGGATCCGGCAGTTGGGACTCGAGGTGGCGCTTCACAAGTCCGAGACCATGTGTTTTTATGGCCGTCGGAAGGCGCTACCTCCAGATGGGTCCCATATAACGGCAGGAGGAGTTACCATCGGCGTCGAGTCGGCGATGAAGTACCTGGGTCTCGACCTCGACAGCCGATGGAACTTCACGGAGCATTATCGTAGTTTGGCTCCTAAGTTGGAACGGTCTGGGGCCGCGCTCAAGCGGCTCCTTCCCAACCTCGGGGGGCCAAACGCCTCCTGCCGGAGGTTGTGTATGGGGATTGTGCGATCCATGGCCCTCTACGGGGCCCCTGTGTGGGCGCCGGACTTGAGGCGGCGGCCAGCTCGTACGCTTGTCGCGTCCCAGAGGGTCATGGCTATCCGGATAATCCGCGGATATCGCACGATCTCCGGTGAGGCGGCGAACCTCCTTGCCGGATCACCGCCGTGGGATCTGGAAGCGAAGGCGCTCGCGCGCGTCTACAGTTTGCGCGCAGACGCGCGTCGACGGGGCGAAGATCCTCTGCCGCGCCAAATTAGTGCGTGGCGGAATGAGCTCCGGCGAGATCTCATGGCTGAATGGAAGCAGCGACTGTCGAAACCGAGGGCCGGGCACGCTACTATAGCAGCGGTAAGGTCTTTGAGGAGTGGCTTGAGAGACGCCACGGCGTCCTCACCTTCCGCCTGACGCAGCTGTGCTTACCGGGCACGGCAGCTTCGGTAGGTTCCTGTTTCGGATCCAGCGGGAGGAAACGCCCTAGTGTCGTCATTATGAGAACCACCTAGAGGATACGGTGGAGCATACGGTAGCGGTATGCCCTGCCTGGGCTGAGCACCGCCGTATCCTCAGGGAAGTGATCGGCGGCGGCGACCTCTCGCACCCGGCCTTAGTGGAGGCCATGGTGCGGAGTGAGAGGAACTGGGACGCCGCCTCCTCCTTTTGTGAAGCAGTCATGCTCGCAAAGAGAGAGGCGGCCCGCGTGAGGGAGCAATCCTCCTCCTCACGCCCCAGCAGCTGCAACTGGCGACACTACGGGCGTCGGGGATCAAGGGACTATCTCCGGCCACCGTAAGCACGGGACTGCGGTCGGCGAGTAAGGGCAGCTCGCCGCCCGACCAGAACCAGGCCCGAGCCTACGGCGCGTAGCGTTCCGCGCGCGCCTCAAAGAGCCAATAGACCACCACAGACGGGGCCCTAAAGCTGATGCTGATGTTCAGCCGGGTTTGCGGGGTAAGCGCAATGAGGCACCGCGAGCCTCGGCCCAGAGCAGGAGAAGAAACATGGTTTTTAGTCAGTAAGAGTCTGACACTCCCTCCCGCCCGGCCCTGGCCGGGAGAAGTCATTTGATGATTTTCCCCTCACAAAAAAAAAAACAAAAAAAAAACTTAAATATCCGAATCCCTTATCCAAGTGTCCATATTTGGCGTCCTACTACGTAAAAAAAACATATGTGGTAAAATAAATTAAAAATTTAAAAAACCCCGACAAAAAAACCAAAGACTTTCAAAAGTAAAAACAACGAATTTTCTTTACTTTAAAAAATATATACATTTTATACTTTTTATGGGTATTTTATATTGCTAAGAGCAATCTCGATTACTTTCGAGCGCTTTCACTTGAGACGCAACTCGAGTACCTATATTTGCAGACCTTCGGTTACCCTACCCCACTTACACCCCATAACTTCTAAACGGCTCAGCCGATTTTCATCGAACATGTCTAGGAACAACAACAACCTTTAATACAAAAAAAAATGTAATAGCTTCATCCGTTCAGGCTCTCGGTTGCCAGTGCCACAGACAGACAGACACGTCAAACTTATAACACCCTCTTTTTCCGTCGGGGGTTAAAAATAGGATTTGTTACAGCGTTTATTGAAAATAAAATTACTAATAAATTCAAATAACCAACTTTAATCATACACATAGGTACATAAGAAGTGTATAGGTAGGTACAGCATTTTAATTTTCATGTTTTAGGGCCTATTGCATGTCCGAATAACCACGTGTCAAACATAATTTGTATGACTTAAATGTCACATAGGAAAAACGAGGCCTTCTTAGTTAAAACATGAGAAATAAAAGGCCAAAGGTTTCTTTGTAACAAACATTTTATTTAAAAAGGGCCCCAAAAATATTTTGGATTTTTACTACTTTGTTTGGTTTTATTTTTATTACATATTATTAATTCTTAATATTTAAAGTAACTGAATTAAATAGATAAAACTGTCATTCACATATCAATAAGACCCGATTTATGCCTAATTTTAGAATTTAAAAGCTTTGAAGGCTTTTGCCTGCCGATCGCTATCTGATGGAAGATGCATCGCGTATCATTAAAGCGGTGAAGGTATGTAAGGTGTAAAAGGAAATTACGTGACAGATGAAGAATAACTTGTGTCAGATGATTTAGTAAAAGAAACAAGAGCGAGAAAATGAACGAAAGTAAAATTGCAAAAAAAATATAGGGAAGAGTGTACAGAGTTTTATATTTTTAACGACGCGGTTCTCGTAAAAGTTAAAACCGAGTTACTTTAATTGAGGTCTAATGATCGATATGTTGAAAACTTAAGAAATTAAGATAAAAGACTGCAAAAAATAGTCTTGTACTGCCATTGTCTATAACGGTAAGGGTGAGAGTATAAACAATAAAATATTTTTAAACTTCAGTGCAATAGGATAATTTACAAGAAAGGTTATTTTATCCAGAATTGTTACTATAACTGTATCACTGATTTCAACCCAATCAACCTGATGGTTGAATGAAATGGGTAAATATTCAGCACACCATTACACTGTTTAAAAATTGACAATAAAGAATTCGTTTTCAATTAAAGCTTAGAAATTAAATAACAAATTATGATTTTGCTATTCCTTTATTCCTAGCCTTCCATTGTTATTGATATACATCTTTCTAAAGTGGGAAATCGAGCTTTATGAATTGTGTTAACTATCTACCTATTTATTTATTCAACACACTTGCAATATATTCCTCCATATCGGCACGTGTGACGCCGTCTCTAGTTTGGCTGTCAAATATAGCACTGGGTGATGGCTCCCAGGGCCACATGACACGTCTTGTGTGTCCACTCAACATGTCCATCTTGGCGCCTGGCGGTATGTGGTACTCACTATTTTTCGTACCATCCGTGCTGAAGTAGTATTTACGTCCACTACTCTTTGACATCACTGCAATCCAGGGTTCTGCAATAAAAATAATGTGTTACTTTTAACCCTTCAAGCTTTCAATATGGTAATTCGAAACACAACAGTAAGACAATACGTGCGCACGAACGACGGAGTTCGCTTGGGGCTTGATAATCAAATTAAATTTTTATCGTCAATACCTCGGTCAAGTGGCAACAAATTCTACTAACCAATAAAGGAATATTTCATTACCTTAGGGAATAAAAAGTGAGGTTTTTTGTCGCTATGTAAGAGTTTTAGTATCGATATGTAAATAAATATTAATTACCTTTTACTTCTTTTAAGAACAATACAGATCCAACTACGTAAAACATTTCATTCCTGTTTATTCTATCTGGAGTATCGATAGTTACTGCTCTTTTTATTCGTTTCGTAGCGCGATACTCCAAATTACTAACGGCTGTTTCAAATTGTTCCATGCTGTATAGCCTCTTTGTTCTTATTGGAAGAGCTTGGTTATCAAATGGTTTATTTAATGCAGAACAAAACAGGTTACATTGATTTATCCTAAAATAAATAAATGTTTTGTAAAGTTTAACAACATACAACTAAATTTAAATGAGGCATAAGAAAATTTAATAAACATGTACCTTTCAGTTAAGGAATCTCCTGAAATATCAATTCCACCTAACATTAAAGCATCAATAATGTGCAAAGCCTTGCTATAAATTTGATTGTTTCCTTGTCCTCGATATTCTTTAACAACCTAAAATATAATGTAATAACTTTATATAAAAATAACACATACGTCATCATAAGGAAGTCTGAATCATCTGAATTAACATACTTCACCATATATCAGGGTTTTGGCTGGTAAAGTCAAATGCAAATCGACGACTGTCTTCCATGAATTCGATTCCAATTGAAAAACGTGTTTACCTCCGCATCCTGAAATTAAAATAAATATTAAACCTCCTAGGAAACTAAGTACTTACATACAGTAATGTAAGAAATATAACAAAACGACGAAATATAAATAAAGTAAATAAATAGCGATTACCTATAAATATTCTTAAATCAGGACTATTTTTCCCACTGCTCAAAAACACAAAATGCCAATCTAATACATTTCTAAAATACGTCCTTAGTTCCGATGGATTTTCTAAATAGCTAGGCGCTTTGTTCAATACGTTTGTTTTAAAATAATACAAGCTTTCGGAATCAAATCCTGGTTTTCTTATCAAGGATCTGATAGCTGCTAATGTGTCGTCATGCCCTTTACGTTCTGGTTGTGTTCTTACTGCGTCTGGTAACTGAAATTAATGCAAATATTAATTATTTTTTTCCAAGTAGACATTTTATTACTAATTAGGAACTTTTTGGTCATTAATCATCAGCCCATAAGTGGCCACTGCTGAGCAAAGGCCTCTTCTTACACGGAGAAGGTGCTTTAATCACCACGCTTGCTCAAGGCGGATTGGTGATTTCAAATTATAATTAGAAATTATAAGACCAGGTTTTCTCACGATGTTGTACTTCACCGTATGTCAGTGGTGTCTAAATAATTATAGAAAGTACATTGTATAATTCGGTAAAAGTCACATTGGTACTTGCCGGGTTTCGAACTTGCATCCTCATGCATGAGAAGTAGGCGCTCTAAATTCTGGGCCACCGCGACCTACTTATTTATAAATTATAAACTAACTAGCTTTCCCCCGTGTAGTATGTTGATATAAAGCATTACAATTATTTACAATAACAGCACATAGCAGCCGGCTTCATCTAGTTTTTCACATATAAAAACTATGATTTGAACTATGATTTTATATATAATTTGACTTGTAAAAGTGCCGTTTTATGGTCTATTTGCCAAAATAAATTCATTGTATCATGTCCTATTCATTTACATTTTATTCCTGTGCCAAATTTGCCGTTTTGGCGTGATTGTGTGACAGACATCCAAATATCGTTCCTTTCGCATTTATAATATTAGTAAGATTAGCGCCAGGAACTAAGACCTATGCGACAGAGTGTTTTCTTTTGTGCCTCATACACCGGCAGTCAAGTGAGGTCGAGTGAAGTAATATTTGAAACATTTGCACGAAATATGTATTGTATGTTTAATATGATATATTCCGTTTTTTTACCTATATACATATATTAAAAAATGCGCGACGCGTGCCGCTTGTTTGGAATCTATTTTAACACATATCGGCAGGACCCTTACGGTTGACTGGTAGAGAATGTCTTTCGAACATTAATTCTACCTTTGTTGCATTACCAAAGCGTGTAAAATATATATAAAAAGAAATTGACATACAGTCTTCCCTTGAAGAAGGAATAAGCATTATTGTTGTAATCATGTATACTTACTTTCCATAATGCCAAACACTGCTCTTTCATCTCTGCTTGAGTAGTTTCTTTTAAATTTTTGTCTTTACTGTACCTAGCTATCTTGAGTAAATTTTGAATTTGTCTTTCACCAAGTCTGAAAATAATGTTACAAATAAAGAACATGTAAGTATGTAGTAAAGGCAAAGAAACTATCAATGGAAATAATAAAAGATATTCTATATACTCACAGACAATTGCTTTTATAAATGTATTCAAAGAAGCTTTTGTCTTCCTTTAGAACACTTAAGGGTACAAGTTGCGTGACATCTCCGCCCCTTTCAGTGTCGCTCCATAATATAGAGTTGACAGATGCCAGGTGTTGTTCTGCAGGTTCTGTGCCCAACCTCTTCCATAAACACACAAGGTATCGCTCTGAATTAGCAGGTCTTGATGTCACAGGCTTGTGAATACAAACTGTAAACAAACAAAATAGTTTTTATGTTTTAATGTACAGTAGTTTCGATAAGGGTCTCATGTATGACTTGAACAATTTAAAGCATATAATAAGTCTTTACCTATGAAATTGCCGTTCTGCAGTACTGGCCATTTAAAATCAAAATAGTTTTTGTTTGGCTAAGAATTCTAATTTCAAATTAATTTTGTTTTAAAAACATGGGATTCTTTTTCCAAAAGTAGTCATTTGTTTATTGATTAGTGTTACATTTTCATCGCATTTCAATCTGTTTTGCCATCATAGATACGTTAAAAATTCGAGTAATTATGGAATATGAGTTCCGTCGTGGCAGCAACGCGGCACGCAACATAAACGACGTTTACGGAGCGGAGCTAACACTACAAACCAACGCACCACCTGTTATTGGTATGCTCGCTTCCGTTCTAGGTATTTCGACTTGAAAAATGAACCTCGCGGTCGTCCGAAGAATTTGGTTGACAATGACGAATTAAAGGCGATTGTGAAAGCTGATGATACACAATCTACGGCTGAATTAGCAGCAGCTTTCGACGTTAGTGTCAAAACAATATTGGTCCATTTGCGTCAAATAGGAAAGGTAAAAAAACTTGACAAATGGGTGCCCCACGAACTCAATGATCGCCAGCGCGAAGTACGCGTCGAGACGTACCTTGCACTGCTCAACAGACACACAAATGAAGGAATTTTGAACCGCATTGTTACCTGCGATGAAAAATGGATTCTGTTTGATAATTTGGTGGTCTAGCGCCGGTATGATTCATCACAGCTTCTTGCCGAATGGGATGACCATTACTGCAGATGTATACTGTGAAGAATTGAACACAATGATGGTGAAGCTGGCACATTTCCAACCAGCATTGGTCAATCGCTCTTCTCCACTGCTCCTGCACGACAACGCGCGACCTCATACTGCACAACAGACGGTCTCCAAGTTGCAAGACCTGGGGTTGGAAGTTCTCCGTCATCCACCCTACTCACCAGACCTTGCGCCTACAGACTGCCACTTTTTCCAGAATTTGGATAACTTCTTGGCGGGAAAAAAATCAATACCCGAGAGGCAGTACAAAACCCCTTTGAAAAATTTGTTGATTCCCGTTCAGCTGATTTCTTTAAGAAGGGCATCAATTAACTGCCACTACGTCGGCAAAGATGCATTGATTGCATGGGTGATTACTTCGATTAATACGAATAAAAAATACATGATAAAAATTTGTTTAAATTTTTTCATGCGAAAGCAAATTTCATAGGTAAAGACCTAATATTATAATCAAGTAGTAACTTACCCTTATCAAAGCATCTGTACATAATATAAACCAAGCCAACACTAAATAGTGTAAATACATCAAAGAGTTTCACCACAAAATGGCCACCAGTCCTTACAAGCATCAATGCTGCTAGACACTGACATAGGTAAAGCTGCTTTGACAATATTTCTTGTATATTTTCTTGGCCTTGTACTGAAAACCCCTGGAATATAAATGAACAATTTTAAATTATGGTTATTGTACTTGACAACATAATTCAACATGACAGAGAGAGAGTTAAGTTGCTTCTGTTACTTACACCATCAGCCATAAGGAAATGTACTCCTTTGTCATCAGTTTGCTTTAACACATGCTCTTTCAGTGATATTAAATTTGCAGGATCAAATATATTACCATCCTTTTTCACCCCATAATATGGGTTGAAGGTTTCAGGTGGTCCAGCATAGAAATCAGATAGCTTAAAGTCATTTGGCCCTTTCAATGTAAAACCAAAACCTAAAACAATTGGGTAAAATAATGTAATAATAATTAAACATTTTACAGAGTTTAATTCTATTACCTTTCTTTATATTCCTTAGAAACAATAATAAAAATTATTTGTATATGTAGGTATATGTATAATATGTAGGTAGATAAACCTTGATATGAAAGTTGACAGTTTGTATAAATGTTATATGACAATAATAATAATTTGCTGCAGTGCAGTATACAAAGATAAAGCATCACCTATCAACTCAATCGCTAAGTAGTGCAGTACCTACTTTCAAGATAAGAATGGGAATTTGATTACAGTTAACTTTAGATAGATTATGTCAATCAATCTAAAATCAACTATAATTTAAGGGTATACCGATAATTATTGCTTGAGTCTTGGTAAAATATATAATGTCGCCAGGCTCCTCCCATTGTTGGTACGAAACTATTTCATGATTCATGCACTCATATATTGTTTAAGCATTTGAATGGAATGTATGAGGGCAGAACTTGTAGTTAACTCAAATCTTCAATTTCTTTTATATAGTGTCTGTCTCACCAGCAACATTAACACACATTCTATGCTACAAGTTGAACAAAATAACAAGAGTAAAATTACCTTTCGCTCTCCAACCTTTTCGGTACAACACATATTCTGAAAATCCTCCCGGACCAGCACATACATCGGCAAAATATAAGATTTCTCTCTTATCTACTGCATCTTCTCCATTTTGTTTTTTAGGGTTAGTGAAATGAAAATCAAATACAGCATCAATATTGGCCATCTTCACTGCAGCTCTGTTCAAGAATATTACTGAACCAATAGTCTCATATGGGTTACTTCGGTACCTTGCATGACGTAAATCTTCATCATCTAAACTGTCAAAAATTGACTGCAAAATAATAAAAAAATTCTTTATATAATAAAGGTTGGTTTGGGACAGTATAATTATTCAGTTTTTCGTACATTAAACAAAGAATAGAAAGCAAAGGAACAATACCTTAGAATCTAATACACCTTTTAAAATTGCTGGGTCTACAAAATGTGTTTCGTCATCAATAGTTGTTTTTTTAGGGCCTCTTCTTAACCATTTATCCAAAAGATCACCAGATAATGGTTCATCCGGGGCAGGATCAAGCCATAACTAAAAATCAAATCATAAGTCTTTAAAAATATATTTTAGCATACAAACTTATTTCATATTTTTCATTATTAAACAAGTACCACATGTTCCCTTGCTTCTGGTTTGGTTTCCTCTTTTATTTCCTTAATATCTTTAGGTAAAGCTCCCACAGCTGATGGTTTGGCTCCCAAACCTCTGCGGCCTTTTTGAGCTGATGCTTCTACAGGTTGTGTTCTACCATGCTCATTTTTACCTAAACCTTTTCCTGGTTTATAACCCATATTCATCATCATTTGTTTTGATATTTCTGAATACTTTTCACTGTATGCATCCTCAAAGTTTTTGTTTTGTTCATTATTTTTATTGTAAAATGCATCTCCAGCATCCAGGAAGCTAGGACGCCCAGACTGTTCACTCCCTTCTGCCTCATCAAATACTGGCCTATAGTCATCATATTGATTATCATTTGGTGATGAACAATTTTCACTTAAACTACTTCTGCTTAGCCTTATATTTTCTTCAGGACTTTGGTCACCATAACTTTTTCTTATTTTTCCTGGTTGTTGAAATTCACCTGCATAGTTGTCAAAAACTGGTGTGTCTGGACTATCCTTATCTGATTCTTGCAGAACTAAGAAAATTTAATATTATTAATATTTAAATAGATTCATTTTAATTAATGCAATTTTAAGAGAAAGTACGACTCACAACATATTAACAGATTATGAAGTATAATAAAGTAGTTATGCATACTTATTAGCATTTTGATACTTGTGTGAGTACCCTGAGACACAACTCACGTTATTGAATTAATTTTAATGAAGGGAAATTACCCTGTGTCATTCCTAAAGCAAATGTTATTACACACATTTGCCTATTTTTATATACTCACCAGAGCCATGAGATGTGGTAGATGATGCTCCATACGTGTCAGTTCGAGATCGCTTCGCGGGTATTATTGTGCTCTCATCACTGCTGCTGTCCTCGTCAGAAGGGTCTGTAGAAAATTCAATGAAATAGAACTTGAATAAATCTCGTAAAAGGTAAAATCGATGCTATGTGGTTTTGAGGTTAAACGCCGACAATAACAAAAACATTTGACTAACAACACATTTAACAAACATTTGTCAATAAATGAACACAACAAACTTCAAAACCGTAAAAAGTAATAAACTTTACCTGAAAGATTCATCGTACGGCCTTGAATAACACTAAATCTGTACGCAATGCATTAAATAATTCGTCCAATGGTATTAATAAACCGTCGTCACTGTTCAACAATAAGAGTGCTCTAAGGTTTGCATAAATAAATTGATGAATGATAGATTTCACACATAAAAATACTTTAAAAATAATTATTCTTCAATGTTCCTGATCAGGAATTACAGAAAAGTCCCAGCTATAAACTAAAAACATTCACGTAGACTCTGGGTAGGTAACAAAAACCAAATAAGTCAGTAAAGTACCTTTATCACAAGTATGGAACACATACAAAATAAACGTAGTGGTTACATACTCTTTGATACAAAATATCGAAAAATGTTGCTCACGTAAAAAAAAGTAAGCCAAATGTGTCACTGTCAAATATTAAAAAAAACTCGAGGACTTAATTCTATGGTCTAGGGCCTAGGGCCTATGGGATCAAAACTTTCAAGTATAATATCAAAGAGAATGTAAGCACTACGTTTAATATTATAATCATTTTATTTTACATCTACCAAATGTAGATGACAATGCTTTCCGTGGATATATTCCTTAATCTGCTGTACATGTTTACGTTACTGAATTCTTCCTAAAGGGCTGGTGAAAATATATATTTTGTTTTTTATCTAATAAAATTATGAAATTATTCACACCTCTCTCTCTCTACCCCTACAGCTCTTGTTTTAGTCTCTAAAAAATTTATTTATTAATTATTCATTTATTTTTCCCCTACTTGTAATGTACAATTTTCTTGTAAACTGACTGCAAAGACAAAAAAATAAGATGTCTCAAATAAAAAAACCTGTGGGCTCGAACCGAGGAACACCAGCCATATCCTGAAATGACCATATTGACCATACCGCGATCGACTACGCTACAGACAACGAAATTAGCGCCCATATTATGTGGGAAATATTGTGAGAGATGACTCGAAAACGTGCGCTTTCTCAGAAAACCCCCACAATATCGAGAAAACAGCGAAATCGTTGGCGCCGTTTCCGAGATCACATGCTTTTCAAGCAATCAGCGCCATATGATTTGTGAATCTAACCCATCCACGGTGCCTTTCAAACGCACACATAAAAAATCATTTGAATCGGTCAAGCCGATTAGGAAGAGGTAAATTCGATACACACAAACTGCCAGCGACTTCGTCAGCGTGGAATAGTGAGTTATGGCAGATTTTTGGTTTTACCCCATAGTTTCCGATCTCATAGGATTTTCGGGAAGTTCTCCTTTTGAATTCCTAGAATAAAAACTATCCCTTGTCCTTTCTCGACTTTTAAACTATGTCTGTACTAAATTTCATCCAAATCGGTTCAGTAGTTTATGGATGAAAGAGAGACAGACAGATAGCCAGACTTACTTACGCATTGCATTAAAATAAAATAAACACAGAATTTTTCGGAAAACTTACAGCAACACATTGAAACAACTCAAAAACCGACTGATTATGAATTTTTGTTCTATTCTATTTTTTATTCTATTACTTAAAGCTGCCGCCAGCGACTTCGCCCGCGTGCTGTGTTGGTAATGAAGTCGGTTAAAAGCAGCCTATACCAATAGAACAAAATCGAAGTATACATGAAATGTGTTATTAATCGTCTCATTTTTATGGGTACATCTCCATAGTCTCCAATGGGTAAATACCCTATTACTTTCTGAGTCTCCGCTAGCCGTCCGTCCATAGATAGAATGGTACGGGTAACTAATAAGTACGTATTACAAATATTTCATAAATCGATCGCGGCAACCGTTACACAAAAATAATCCTTATAGCATGATTCAGTGTTCGCATACGATGGCGCGATCGCTTATTCTCCGAACTGCTAAGCTATCAGGAGTTTCAATTGATATTGTGAGTTAACCATAAAAGATAGACATATGCTGTAAAACAATTTTTTAGTTTTCGACATACATGATTTCTATGTAACGCGACGGAAACTTAAAAAAGGCAGTAACTTCTCACGTTTTCCCAACATTTCCCTTCACTGCGCTGCTTGTATTATTTGTAGCGTGATGAAAAGTATAACCTGCCCAGGAGTACCTATACCTAAAGAATAATTGTACCAAGTTTCGTTAAAGTCCATTGAGTAGTTTTGTTTCTATAAGGAACATACAGACAGACAGACAGACAGACAGATAAAAATTTTACTGATTGCATATTTCGATCATTTATCACTCCCTGGTAGTTATTTTGAAAATATAGATATTTAATGTACCTACTTACAGAATTGACCTCTCTACAGATTTATTATAAGTATAGAAGATATAGATAAATAAAAATATTTGTATATATTTAGGTATTGCTCTAAGTATGAAGAGAGAAGGTGAGAGCATACAACTGTGATACAGCTGTCAAAAGATATAGGTACCTAATATTAAAAAAGAAGCTACATAGTGCGGTGCGTTATAAAAATGAATGATGGCAAATATAGAAATAAATTTAACATTTATATACTGGCGAAAAATATTATGGGACACGTCTAAAGTGGACTTAAAAAACGAAAGCTTGAAAACATAGAGCAAGAACATTGTAAAATACTGTAATGTACTTGCACGTACATAAAATTATCTGTTTGCTGGATTATTTTTGTGTAACGGTTGCCGCGCTCAACGCGGTATATAATAAAATACATCATAATAGGTTTTATGAAATATTTGTAATACTTACTGTGGTGTAGGTTATTCTATATTTATAAAAATAAGAGTGGGTATATTCAACCTTGCATGTGTGAGCCAGTCTCTCAATAAACCTACGCGATTGACGTAGTTTCACTGTAACCCTATTAGTTAAAACCGTACCATTCTATTTATGGACGGATGGATAGCAGAGACTTGGTAAGTAATAGAGTGTTTACCCATTGGAGATATACCCATAAAAATGAGACGATTAATAACAAATTTTAACGATTTTGTTCTATTGCTATAGGCTGCTTTTTATCAACATAGGACGCGGGTGAAGCCGCTAATAATTACTAATAAACAATATTGATATAATTAGAAAGCTGTTTTATTGCGATATAGAGAACTAAACCATCATTGTGTGGAAGAGCGGGAAGTCGAGAAGAATCGAAGTGTGGGAGAGCCAATGCTTCGGTACGAATGGGTCGGCTCGACCGGAGTGATACCACGGCCTTGCAGAAAACCGGCGTGAAACAACCACAGCGTTGTGTTTCGCCGTGTGAGTGAGGTTACCGCAGGCCCAATCATTCCCCTCCAAATAAAGGTCGGCAACGTACTCGTAACTCCTCCGTGTCCATGGGCGGCGCTGATTGCTCCATCAGGTAATCCGTCTGCTCGTTTGCCGACCTATTACATAAAAAAAAGAAAAAAAATTGCATTTTAATTATAAAAATAAATTCATTGTTTCAAACCTGAAAACTCAATGATTCGCGAAAACTCAGTGAGTCTTTGTACTTACATTTTTTTTTATTTCATAGGGTTGTTGGTCCTTTGTGATAATATATTAATACCATTTTTGATATTCTATCATTTAAATAAAGTTTAGGAATTTTATAAAAGATTAAAAACCATAACCTAAATATAGGTACTGGACCTATCTGATACAGATCCTACACCAATGTACCTAACGTCTTACTTGGCGATAAAGCGTTTGGTTTGGACCATAATACGACCAGCAGGCTATCATTCAAAAAATGTTATTACTAATCATCAAGACCTCGACGTTATATTGAATTCACTTTTGGAATTCTGTATTCTATTAAGTACCTATACCTATCAGCGGACCGCCCCCCTGCTTTGCATGGATATCCGCTGACTGACCCCAGTGTCAGTAATTTGTTTTGCAAGTGAACGGCCACGGTATCGGATGGTTTGTTAATTCCCGCTATTCCTCTTTATTTTCGTAAGTATCTTCTCCTTACAATAACGAACATAATAAAAAAGAATTGGGCAAAATTGGTGCAGGCGTTATTGAGTTAGATAGGATGCGCTTTTTTTTCATAAGGATATATTATCTACCATGCTATTGCAGAAATGTTAATGATTTCATTCAGAAACTAATGAATAGAATAAATAAAATACAACGGATTACAGATATTTATATCCATATAAAGGTAGGTATATACCTACCTATATCAATGATTCTTTTAGTTGCAATACGTTATTAAATCAACAATGCATTTACCGATATGGCTAGTTTTGGTCGTCTCGAATTATTCGTGGAAGTCCAGAGAAGGTTTGTACCTAGAGATAATTTTAACAAATCTTGGAAAGGTATATCTAAATTCGACATTTACGCGGGCGACCGCAAGTGACTTCATGAGGTTCGTGTAAAATTGCAAGACAAAAATTTAAAGGATCCTGAAGTTTGTTACTTTTAGCGGTATGTACCTACTTAATACAAATTGTTAAAAGCTTATCATCTAATTTATTACTAAATAGTTTTCATTCCATTAAAAAGAAACGTTATTGCGGGTACCTATAGTTGGCAATTAATGGCCTAAACGAAAAAACGAAACTAGTATCATTTAAATGAAATTAATCACTATTTTGAGACTAAATTAATGTGCGACTACAGTTTGATGACAACGTTCAAAATAAAAAACAAATGCGTTTACTTTAATGTTATAGTTTTTTATTTGTTTACTATGACTTTAAGACGACTGAAAAAAGTTTATTTTCTAAAATGAGACTTCGCCCACAGAATTGATTGATTGCTATCGAACAGCTTCTTTGCGAAACCGGCACCTTAATGCATTTCTACTCCAGCAGCAGGTTCAAGTTGTACTTACGAAGGGTCGCAGTAAGTGACTCTACAATTATTTATTAGAAGGAGGATCGTGGAGATGTAACCACACAAGCCAGCATTCCATATGCTGGCTTGTGTTGTGTGAATATAATTATGCAGTTAATTTCGGTCCATTTGCTGGCTTATCATCGAAGAGCGCGCCTTGATTTTGCGCATGAACACCAAAATTGGTCAAAAAAATAACCTTATTTTTTCATCTACGTGCGTTGATTCATTCATTGGCTTCTTTGTCCATACAAAAAAACCGGCTAGGAGCCTATCGGGCAACGCTCTGTGTAGGGTTCCATAGTTTTCCGTCTGTCACAATAAGAATTCCCACAAAAGTAACATACTGGACAGGATAAACTGGGATAAACACTGGATGGGCACAAATAGATGGTGAAAATATTAGAGATCTCGGTGTCATACACGATAGTGTTCTCATTTTTGATGCTCATATTGATTCCATTGTGGATAGAGCTTCGAGGGCCTTGGGTTTTATCATTAGGACCTATTCCAACTTTCTATCTCTGGAATCACTAAAAGTCCTACCTACGTAAGATATTTCTTAGATCAACCCGAAACAATCTTAGAAAGCGTCCTATGTTACATGCAGCACATAAAGGAAAAAGCCCGGTTAATTTCTGTTTCAAGCCTGCTTATTTTCTCTATGATGCTACTGCCGAACGACTGACCCCATATTTGGCGTGCGCGATCCAAGGGCGTACGAGTAGCGCGAGCGCCGCGTGCGCTGCGTAAGCGTCGGGTGTTGCCGCCGTGTGACGTGCATGCAGCGTGCGCGTGTCCGTTACCCAGGCCAGAGTGCCTAGCACGAATGACTATCGTAATCGTAACGTTAACGTATCGAGACGTCGATACTTCATGTGACGAAAACGGAATGTCGCAGCACGAAGCCTATCGTATCGTCTAGCGAGAGCTCGAATCGAATTCGTTAGTGACGTCATGCTAATGTAAGCTAGAGAAGCACCCAAGTGAACGAATTGAATGAATTCTTGAACATAATTTAACATAAAGATTTCGTCTGAAAACTAAAATTAATTTTAAACATATTTCAACCTTCGTCTACACCTTTTATGGTATTATATTTAAATGAAAAAATATATATTACGTGAAAGAATTCTTAAAACGAGTCAAGAAGTATATAAAATGACTTTATCTTTGAAAAAAATATTATTTGGTTATTTAAATTTTGTAACCTAATTTACGATTTCCGAACGTTCTTTTGACAAAGGTGACATTTGACAGCTATTGACGTATTTTTTTTAACAAACAAAACAAAGAATGTAGATAGGTACCTAATTATGCGGCTATCTTATTATGCGGTTACTTTAAATTTATTTTAAAATGAGGAGGACTCGGCTCCAATACGAATTAATGGTGGATTTCATGGAATATGCCAGTGACAAGCAGCGAGCCTTCAGTGTTCCGACCACTCCGCAGTACCCATGAAGCCAGCCGTTCATCGACACCACCAGTCGCCAATCCTCCATTAGAAAAGGAATGCTGGAAGCCTCGACCGAAAACAAAAATGTAAAGGGAGTTTAATCAAATTGTGTTTAGAGAATGATAAGAAACCTAGGGAGTTTGCTAGGGAGCGTGAGGAAACATATGATATAATGGAACAAGAGCGTTTGGAATTACGACGAGAAGAATGAAGAGTAAGACAGAGAGATGCAGAGCTCCTTTTACAGGCTCAGTGGCTGGAACTTTTGAGAGAGGCAATAAATGTATTAAAATATAATCTAGTTAAAAAGATGATTAATGTATATTTACATATTTTATTTTAATTTTAATGTATATTACTACATTTTGGAATGAGGAAAGATTATGTTAGTATTTAATTTAAAATGTCTCACTATAGTTACCTATTATAAAAACATAGGTAAGAATAGTTTTTAAGTTAGATTAGTGTGTAAGATGTTTTGGAAATGTATAATAATAAAACACTTGGGTCATCTATGTAGTATATTTATTTGCTGTACCAGAATATTACTTAAAGCCCTTTCACTTATCAAATCATCGCTTCTATCATTTTCATGTCTCATATCAGAAGATGAGGTATGAGACAAGTCTTGATGTTCAGCTGTTGTTGTATCTACCTGTGGCTCAGGCACATTGAAATTTATGACCAAATTATGCAACACGCAGCAAGCCGTTGTCAAGCACATTTTTCAGGAGCATAATTCAGAGTGCGGTCTTTGCACAAGCATCACCTCTTCTTCTTTTACCGCAGTATATTGTGGCCCGGAGTTCCCTCTACCGCATCCAAAATGAGTAGGCGTCATTAGCCATGGTCGCTGTGGGTAGCCAGAATCACCTGTAAAAAATACTTATTAGAAAACCTAATTTATACTAGCTACTTTCTCGCGGTTTCACCCGCTGCTCGACTCCTATTGATTTCATTTTAGCATTATAAGGTGAGTTTTTTGTTGGAGTTGCTCACAGAAGGCTTCTTTATTTAGGCTACGTTTCAGTGATATCCATTGGATTAGATCTTTCTGAATTTAGCTCGGCACACGATTTCTTTAGAATAATCAGTTAATTCGTATTATTTTCTTGAATACATATGTCTATATTAAGTGAAACATAACTTAAATAGGTAGGTACTTAGGTACTTACGAAGTTTCTCTTGACTCTTCATCTCCAAGTAAAATAGCCACAAATAAACTATTTCTCCAACTTGGTTCGTACAGCGGCGGTCTTTGCATGATGTTATACTCATAAAGAATACTCACAAACCTTATAATATATTATTTAAAACACGATTGAAATATTTCGAAACCTTTCTCACCGTCAAATTCTTAGTGACAAATGTTTCGACAGTTTTCGATAGCCAGCCTTCGAAACTTACGTTACTATACGTCAAAAGATCGTTCGTGCTTCCAATTTGTGTCAAAATGTTCTAAGTTTCGATAGCAACACGATACGATTACTATACGATAGTTGTCAAAATCATTCGTGCTTGCGATTTTTAGTTCCTTTTACGCACGGTAGGGGCGCTGTACAAATCCCATAGAAAATGCTTTCGATCTCGATACGAATACTTTCTCGATAATGTTCGTGCTAGGCACACAGATGTTGTCGACAATGGTCATTTGAATATTATAGATAATTAGTTGTGCGGCTTCTGTAATTGTTGCGCACATTTTTAAATTTGTTGCGCTTATAGTTTTTTAATTATTTCACAAAAACATTTCCTGCTGGCGTAACGTTACCACAGCCAGACCTTTTTCTTTCTAATGGGAATATTTAAATAAATATTAGCTATAAAATTAGTTGTCTAGATAAAGTAAATGTTGTGCCTTATTTTGTAATTTGTTCTTTCTTCGGTTGCGAAGTTATTCGAGATTTTGCTGCGGTAACGTTTTTGGTTTTGCTAGATCTTTGAAATGGTTAAGCGGATTCTTATCATATTTTGTACACGACTTCCGAGGACTTAGTTTAAATTTGTTGTGCAATAACAAAACCAAAATAATGCATATTTTAAAGGTTTTTTCATTAAATAGAAAAACACTTCAATTGGCCCCAGCACTCTCAATAAGAAGTCTAAAGACTTACTTTAAACGTAATTTTAAAGCTTGTAACTGCCTTCAAATGTATGTGAAGTTTCATTAGTATCCCGTAAGTATTTAACAAGTTATGATGATATTCAGTTCTTCACGAGCGTCCTGCAAACAACTTAAAGAGTCCGAAAGAATTAAAGTTTTGTTTAGACTGTGGGATTCCGCATATTTGACCGCTTCTAATAAAGCGATTGCTTCCCCAGAAAAAATAGAGGACTGAGAAGAAACTTTAAAATTTAAAATAATTTTATATTTTGGTATCCAAACAGCAGCACCCACAATACTGTCTTCTGAAATTTTGGACGCGTCTGTAAACATAGTGAGCCAATCTGGCCAGTCCTCCGTTAAAATCTTATTTAACTTGTTATTGGCACCGGGGTCGTTTTTGCAAATGCCAAGACTAAAAATAACCTTTGGTTGAAAAATCAGTGATTCGAAACTAACTTCAAAAAGCGGGTTGAAATTAAAAATAAGTCAAAATATTGACCATGAGATGTGGCAAAAGGCTGAAGCCACAACATTGAAAAAGTGGAATCATACAATTGCCTGCAACATATGCATTTGCTGTTACTTGAACCAAATTGTTTTTTTTTTTTTTTTTTTTGTTATGCTTAGTATATTTGTAACGGGCATTCTGATTACAAGCAGTAGGTATTCAAATGAATTATGTATTAACATTATACCAAAGGCTTACTTGAAAGAAAATAATAACAAGATATTTAGTTCCTTAAGGTATTAGAAAAGAGAGTAATTACATTCATCTAAGGTGGACTAAATTAACAATCAACAATGTATTAATATGTACCAAATTCTTATGTTTATTAAATCATTTAACATTGAGTCAAAACACAATTTATATTTAATTGTTATCAATTAGTTGATATTTTCTATTAACCATAAATAATGGTTCAATCTGGTGTCAATATTTGAAGAGTTCTTTATGTTTAGTCTAAACTTATAAACTTATGAAATAGTCTTTAACACTACACAAAGCTATTATTCACTTAATTTCTTTTACATAGGCATCAAGTTCCGCATCTAATTGTTCTGCAGTGGGTACTGGGCGTTTCCCACGGCCTGCTCCAGCTGCTCCACGGCCTGGACGACGAGCATTACCACGGGATCCACGTTCACCTTGATTTCGGTTTGGTCCACCTGCACATATAATATCATACCATATTTTATCCATCCACCGAGCCAATGAGTTATCTTAAAATATTACATTCACTTGTTTTGATTTGCAAGTCATACAGACTCACTTAAAATACCAATTGTAATAATTGAAACTAAATAAATTCAAGAAAGTACCTCTGTTCATATTTCGCCTGGCTGGTCCATTTCCTCCAACGTTGCCACCACCACCACCAATTCGACTTCTTTCTTCATTTCTAAAGTTAGTTATCTCAGAAGTAGCTAATTGAATGTTCATTGCTCGTCCATCTAATGGTACTCCATTGTATTGTTTCATAGCTTTTAATGCATCTGCTTTTCTCTCAAAAACAACATCAGCGGTACCTTAAAATAATGAATATTTATCTATTAATCTCTACAGAAACTGCAATATTATTAGTTGAAGCTAGGTCCAATTTGAGTTCAACTTACCTAAAGAACGTCCAGATCTATCATAATGTACAGCAGCACTTTTGAGAATTCCAAATTCGGAGAACAGCTCCTGTATGTCTGAATCGGATACTCCAAAGTCTAAGTTGGATACTAACAACTTTGTTGGGCCAGTTGTTATAGATGGCATTGTGTTTCTTTGAATCTTCCTTTCACCAAAGTCATTGAACATGTCATGTTTCCATGCGCTGTTAACATCGCCCTGAAATAGGTGGTCCTTCAGAGCTAGCCGACTGGCAGCTCAATGCCTCATTGAACATGATTACACAGAGTGTAAAACTGTAGCATACATATTAGTTAAATACTCTGCTACATTTTTGTAATAATATACAACATTACAATGTTATTACTAAACAATAATATGTTGATCTAGAAAAGAATTTGTTTTTTTATAGTTGCATTACATATTACATATTTGGATATATTTGTCCCACAATATTAATGCAGTTCTTATTTTTCACACTGGATGGCACAAAGTCGCGTTGATTTTTGAACTGCATCTTGCAAATCAGCAACAACACCACAGCACTGTTTCTTGTAGCCCCTATACCCGCAGCTCGGAGCCTTACAAGGCCCCATGTTGCAGGCCGCTCAGAGACACATCCCAGAAAGTTTATCTAGCACTTCCACTACATCAGCGACAGGTAGAATCGCAGATCCCAGAAAGTTGACATCGGTAGTATTGGTAGCAGTGTTGGTTGCATTTGGATAGCTTTGATGCCATACTGCTGCGGACAGTATTTCAGTCGAAAACATTTTCACAAAAAATGACACGCTTTTACATTGGAGTGCTCTCTCGAAGCCAAAATTAGATCTTGTGATCTAAGTCAGCAAGAGCAAAATTACATAAAGCAGTGAAGAACTGCCGCTACATACACGATGGCCACATAGATAACTCGAGTTGTCATTGCGACAATCGTCCATACATTTGGGGGATTTTACAAGATGCGTCATTTCACCACGTTTGTCCGCCATTTGCAATTTGAGTTACCGTTTAAGTAATTATTTACCCTTGAGTAATTTGTTGATTTAGATATACCGCCACGGTTTCTACCGCGCAAAACGCCCCCCGTGCGGCCATTTCTAAATCCACCACCAGCTCCGCCACGGCCGCCACCAGGTTTTCTTGCAGTATTAAATTTACGTCCAGCGCCGCCGCCCCTGGGTGCTTTTTTATTGGCTTTTATGATGTCATCTAAAGCCATTTCAATTTGGTCAACCATTTTATAGATGTAGATTGATGTTTCCGATTTATTTATTATTATTTTCACAAACGCGCGTCAACTGCTTCGCAAAATCGAAGACAAAGAGAAAGAAAAAATTATTGCTCACAGAGAACACAGCTACTACGCAAAAAAAAATGAAGATTTGAAGTTTATACGTAATGATTGAGTGAATAAGTTATGGACTTTCTGGTTTACTAATATTTACTCTGTGGATACTTTTTTTAATACTCTGTGGATACTTCCATAGATTATACACTATAACAAGCAAAGGAATTTAATTTTCTTGGTTCAAGTAAACGTTAATACAAAATTTAAATACTATATCTATACTTATATTAAAAAGAGGTAAAATTCTATGTTTGTAAGTTTGTATGTAGGGATCTTGGGAACCGCTGGTCAGATTGCCAAAATTATTTCACTAATATAGCTACAATGTTCCTGAGGGCTAAATCACGATACAATAAAACAATGAAATTCTACAATAAAACATATAATATGATACAATAAAACATTTCCAGCTAGTTTGTACATTATTTGTGCTGTTGTGGTACTTGTGGTTAGGTTCATGCGCACAGACTAAATAGATACCTATACTGGTTGCGGGCTTGCGGGCAATCGTGGTTGTACCGTAGCCTCGGTTGGAATGTGCGGTGTCAGTACTTAAAAGTCTGACTCTCCTTCTCGCCTTACCCTTTTTTGTGACGGGAAAATCATCAAATGACGGTAATGTCAGACTCTTTCTGACTTGTGAGGATCACCCAGAGAACACGGTAGAGCAAACGGTGGTGGTGTGCCCTGCTCTGGCTGAGCACCGCCATGTCTTGAGGTAAATGATCGGCTTCGGCGACCTCTCGCACCCGGTCTTAGTCGGGGCCAAGGTGCGGAGCGGGGGGAGCGGGTGAGATGGGAGCCGTCTCCTTTTTCTGCAAAGCTATTATGGTCGCAAAGAAATGAAAAAAGTGGGTGAGCTATCCTCCTCCTCACGCCCCAGCCGCCGCAATAGGTAACACTCCGGGCGTCGAGGATCGAGAGATGATCTCCGGTCACCGTCTGTGCCGCCCGACCAAAACCAGACCCGAGCGAACGGCTCGTAGGATTACACGGGTGCCTCAAAGAGCCAATAGATATTAGATCATTACAGATGGGGCCCTACAGGGGTGCGGGTGATTGATATTCAGCCGGGGTTACGGAGTAAGCGCAATGAGACACGTTTTAGTTTTTACTCATGTTCGTAGTCCTGCTGTAGGCCTAGGTGCCGTATTGCGCTTGCTTGCCCCACCACCCCGGCTGTCTGACCTTACCCTGGGCGATATTTATAAGTTAGTCAGTTACATTTTTCGCAATGATTAGCTTATCACTTGTTAATGTAAGGCACAGCCGTGCCAGCCAGCAACAAATGAATGTTATTTACGACTAAGCAGTAGTAAATAACATTCATTTTTAAATAAAAAATGAAATCAAACGATAAAGATAAGATACTTTACAGTAGATTTAACGTTAAATACAACTAGGTACGTTATTATTTTATTGCGTACCTACTATAACAAACTTATAGTCCAAAGAACTATAAATTATACCTACTACAAAAACTATATAGTCTGTGTTGGTGTCAGTCAGTCGCAACTGTCGCATTGAGATAGAAAATATATTTCATATGTCAATGTGTCAATGTCACTTTATGCTTAAGGTATAATAGGGAATAAATACTCATAAAACATAACACAATAATTTCAACGAATAAAAGTACGCTATATTTTGCGGCATTAATTCTAAATGGCGTTAAATAAGTATATGCATCCTCGTAATATCTACAAAATCCCTCCCGATTTCGGAAAGTTATCAGTACTATACCCAGAGTTTGCAGCTATATCCAAAACGGTGAATTTTACTTTTTACTTTACGATTACTATTTATTTTATTTTAAATTAAATATATAATACCTCATGTTCTAGTGTTACCTTTTAACTTAACATAATATCACTTATCAAAATATAACATCTACCTTAATGTCTCAATTGTTTACCCATTCACTTGACTCACATATAAATGAGTTTTACCAGTATAAGATTTTAGCAGAATTACTACGTAGGTAATTAATTTGAGACGTTTGTCAACAATAATGTGTTCATGTTGTTTTAGGTTCATCAATACAATACAACTATATAAGACAACCTTGATCATAAAGTAGAAAGTATTTAAAGTATAAATTTAATATAGCAACTTACTTTTTATCTTTTTAGGATGTAACTGGTAAAATAACTGTAGACTTCAAAGATCCACATTCACTGAGAATCCTTACTCAATGCCTTCTCAAATCTGATTTTAATCTTGAAGTTGATATCCCGGCTGATAGATTAGTTCCTACATTACCTCTAAGACTTAACTATATTTTATGGATTGAAGATTTAATGGAGGCTATTCATAGAAAGGAGGATATCAGAGGCTTAGATATTGGTAAGTCTGGTACTTTTCTCATTTAATAGCTGTTGTTCCTTGACAGAACTTTTAATATCCTACTTTAAAAATCTCTGAATTTATCAATATTACAGTTTCAAATATAATATAAATGTTTTAACATGTATGAATTCTATTAAATTCAATTGTTTGACATGATATTAAAGTAAAAAAAAATTTTTTAGGAACTGGAGCATGTGCCATTTACCCGCTGTTAGGAGCTGTTAAAAACAAATGGACCTTTGTTGGAACCGAAACTGACACAGAAAGTTTTAATAAAGCTGGTGAAAATGTAAAAAATAATAAATTACAAGAACTTATTAAATGTGAGTACCTGAGTTGTGCTTTACTCTATAATATTTGAGGCTCAGTTATCTGTTAGTTATGCATGAAACGGATATAAAGACTACGAGGCTTGTCAGTTGGTGATGTCAATAACACTATTCAGAGTTACCGTAAGTCCGGGTTACTTTGACCCTGGGAGGTAACTTTGATCCAAATTTTCGAACCAATGAAAAACAAATATATGTTTGGTTCTCAGTTATTATGAGGGTTTGGATCAAAGTTACCCCGCAGGGTCAAATTAACCCGAACACAAAAGAACATAATAATTATATTGTGGTTCTAAGCATTAATTTGGCTAATTTTTATTATTATTATACTTGAACACACTAGCAGCTTAGAAAGCTGATGCGTGCGTATTAATGGATTCGGAGGTTTTGTCGAGTCTGTTCTGTAATGTTGAAATATATTTTTCCCCTTATTTCAGTAACAAAGAATTGTACTAAGTCTATTATTTCTCATATTTTTACAAATGATGATAAGGAACAATATGATTTCTGCATGTGCAATCCACCTTTCTACAGTAATTTACAAGAACTGTGTGAATCACGAAGCCCAGCAAGGTAAACCGTCTTAGTTTTAAAATTTTTACTTTGTTATAGTATAAAAACAAATACTATGACTAGAATATTTTCTTCTAAAGTTGTTATTACTGTTTACAGACTGCCTCCAAAGAACGGGTTCACAGGGTCTCCACAGGAGTTAATCACAGAAGGAGGAGAGCTAGAATTTTGTAGGCAGCTCATCCGTGAGAGTAAACAATACAGGGACAAAATACAGTATGTTTCAGGCGTTTTTTCTTATTATGACAATATACATAGTAACACATATACATTATTATACAATATGCATGAATAATACATAATATTATTATGTTCCTGCAGTTTTACACAGATAATTATTTTTCAGAATATTTACCACAATGGTGGGCCACAAATACAACTTAAGTGTACTACTACAAGACTTAAAGTCAGAAGGAATTACCCACACTCATGCTGAGTTCTGTCAAGGTCGTGTTACTAGATGGGGTCTAGCTTGGACATATCAAAATTATGATTTATATGAATTAGGTATGATATATATGTAAATTATGATGTTAATAATAATTAGATATTTCTATCATAATATAATGCTATTGCTAAAGACAATTATGTACATTGATTTCTTTTCCAGTACCTCCAAGAGGAAAATCAAGGAAGAAACATAAACCAACAATTTTTTTGTTACCTGTATTAACAAGCTGTGGAGGTAATATTGAAGTTGCCCTCAATAAAATAAAAGAGATGCTTAACATTTTATGTATTGAATACAAAATACTTGATAAGAGAGGAGGCAATATCACATTAGAGATTGTAGCAATAAATAACACTTGGTCCAACCAAAGACGAAAACGAAGACTCCAAAATAGAACTGAAGCTGATGCTAAAGTGCCAAAATTACATACAGAGCAAGGTTGTAAACTGGTACACAATCCAACTAGCAATCAAGTTGAAGGTGAATCAAAACTTGATGATTTAGAGGCACCAAAATCGGCCCAGATTGATGATAATATAAAAAACCAAAATAAAATAAATGAAGGTGAAAGTCAACAACATAAAAGTTCGATTAATTCTGCAAATAATAGCAAAACTGAGCCTCTAGTACATGCCTTTTTGAAATTACAAAAGAAAGTTGACAATATTCTACTGGAGTTAGAGTTTCTTGATGGTAGTGCTGGAAAAGAAGGCTTACACCAAATAACACAATATATTAAAAACAATTGGAAATAAAATGTGTTTTATTACTGACTTTCCTACTAGTTGTAGTTGCATTTTCATGATCTGAAATAAAACTATAGGTATCTAGATATTCGAATCTGGTTCATTGATGATTTGTCCTGTAACAAAAAAACGATTACAGCCTTTAAAACCATAAAGAGAACTTCTTATAAATAATCGCGTCTTCATTCATTTGAAGGTAAGTACTAACTGCAATTTAAGATGTCTCGACGGGCTATTTCACACGTTATAAATTTATAGAAAATTAGCGATTCCTCCCGGCTTCGCAGGGATGCAATGTTCATACTAACTGCACTAATAAATGAATACTATCACTTATAAACCTTCCATTTCAGTCGGTTTATATATTAAGAACTGCTTCAAAATCCGTTGCGTGGTTTTAAAGGTTAAATATACTTAGGAACAGAGAGGGTGACTTATTTATATATACTTCTTTGTACCTACATATAATTAAAAATTCAACTAACAGGCTTAAAACTGCCGGGGTTGCGGGGTAAGCGCAATGAGGTACCGCGACCTCGGCACAGAGCAGGAGAAGGAACAGGGGGTTTTTGGTCAGTAAGAGTCTGACACTCCCTCCTGCCCGACCCTGGGCGGGAGAAGACATTTGATGATTTTCCCCTCACAAAAAAAAGGCCTAAAACTACAGAGTGTACCATAGGCGGTCTTTTCACACTCAGTGATTTCTTCCAGACAACCGTTGGATGGATATTTCAAAGAAACTTGGGAATGGGCAGTTTACTGTAAGTACAATAATTGGTAATAAAATACTGTGACTTGGTTTAATCCTACTTATTGTAAATGTGAAAGTTTGTTACAATGTATGGATGTGTTTTTATGGATTCTTTTACTTAAATACGTAGCCGTTTTCAACCTAACCGAGGTATGAACTGATGGATTAACACCAGTTCATACCTTGTGTTTAGGATTTAAATGATGGTCGACTCGCTTTGGGTAAATTATAACTTTAATACAGATCGATTTTTACAAAATTATATTATGTGTGAGCGCACGACACGTCCGTCGCTGACCGAATCTGTAGGCGAGCCGCGCGGGGTGAGGCGGCGGCGGTGCACCTGACATTTGAGTGCGCCCCCCGCCCGCCGCGTCTCCCGCCGCTGAGCATCACACGTTAGATGCGTGAACATCCTCCGGCGCGTTGAAAGCCTTAGCTTTCAAGAAGTAGACGAGGTCTGGAGCCTGGAGACGACTTCCTCTGGTTCCTTGACATCTTTCGATTCTGAAGTGGGTAGAAGACATAGTTTATTGACAGCCCTTCGTATAACGCCCTTTGAAGTAGTGACGTCAGCCACCCTACTGACGCCATCGGCCCCCGGGTAGAGACGACACACACGCCCCATCCGCCATTGTAATGGCGGTAAGTTGTCCTCCTTCAGTATCACCACGTCCCCACAGGCGAGGCCTTGTTGCCCGGTGCGCCATTTGGTGCGTTGCTGCAACTCGGAGATGTACTCAAGGCGCCATCGCTCCCAGAAGTGCTGTCTTATCTTCTCAATAAGCTCGTATCTGTTTGGTCTAGTAACAGTGATGGGTTTCGTCGGAATAGACGTAAGTGGTCTCCCAATTAAGAAGTGGCCTGGGGTCAGAGGAGAAGGATCAGTAACATTGGACGAGAGAGGAGTCAGCGGGCGTGAATTAAGGATGGCTTCGATTTGCGCAAAAAGCGTTGCCAGCTCCTCAAACGTCAAAGCGGCATTTCCAGCTACACGTTTTAAATGGAATTTTGCTGATTTAATTCCAGCTTCAAATATACCACCGAAGTGGGGAGAATATGCGGGGCTAAATACAAATTTTATTCCTTCAGAAGTAGCATAATCACTAACAGATTGACGGCTGGATCTTAGCAACCTACCTAGTTCATTGTTTGCACCCACAAAATTCCTGCCGTTGTCGCAAAAAATCTCATGACATCTTCCTCTGCGCGATATGAAACGCCTTAGGCACAAAATAAAAGCTTGAGTACTTAGTTCACTCACCAGTTCTAAATGTATTGCCTTTGTACTGAGGCAAACAAATAAACATAAGTAACATTTGGTGATGCGGTTACCACGACCCTTCCGGTTGCTAATCATGAAAGGTCCAGCAAAGTCAACTCCACACGAGTAAAAAGGAAAACAAGCATTCGTACGCGCTTCAGGTAAATGACCCATTATATTATTGGCTGCATTGTATCTGCTCGTAAGCGAGTGCAAATAACACATTGTCTAACTACTAGCCGCGCTAAACATCTTCCACCAATAGGCCAATATTTATCACGCACTGACGCTAACAGCAGCTGTTGACCTGCGTGGAACAAACGTATATGTTCATTAATCATTAATAACTTGGTAAAATGATGTTTTGAATGTAATAGTATAGGATGCTTCTTATCGAAATTATAATTTGAGTTTCCTAAACGACCACCCACACGAACCAAATCGTTTGAATCTACAAATGGAGTCAACTGCAGCAATTTACTCTTTTGTGGTAATTGTTTTCCTTGCTTTAGTAACCCAATTTCAATCGAAAACGATTGTAATTGGCATTTTTTTATTAGTAACATCTCTGAATTATTTATTTCATCGGAACTTATAGGGCCTAAATAATTATGTTTGTTTTTATTGCAATTATTAATAAAACGTAACACATATGCAAATGTTCTAGTTAATTTATTAAAACTAGAGTATCTTTTGAAATCTATAAATAAATTACCGTTATCAGAATTGTCTACTGCAGTTATCAACGAATGCATCTTTAACTCCGGTAAGTTTTGAACTGCGAAAGAATTATGCGGCCACTCTGAACGTTCCTTCTGTAGGAAAGAAGGACCTTCCCACCACAAAGAAGAAGACAACAGGTCCTGGGGTTCAACCCCCCTTGAGGCCAGGTCAGCTGGGTTCATATTCGTAGGTACATGTCTGTGTTCAAAACCACTTGTTAGCCTGTTAATTTCATTGACCCGATTGCAGACAAACATTTTAAGATTTCTTACATCAGTTCTTAACCATCCTAATACAACTGTCGAATCTGTCCAAATAGTTTTGTAGGTGATATTAAATCGTAGTGACTGTATAATTTTATCACATAATCTAGCTCCCAGCAAAGTACCTAGTAATTCCAATTTTGGTATAGTAATAGGCTTTAAGGGTGCAACTCGTGCCTTTGCGCATAAAAGTCTGACAGTGATTTCATTTTTGTCATTTATTGACCGTAAGTATACACATGAAGCATATGCTTTCTGTGACGCATCAACGAAACAATGTAATTCTATTGACACGGGATTATCGCAAAGAATATATCTGTTGATTTTAATATTAGAAATGTAATGCAAATTAGAAATGAATTTTAACCACGTATCTAACAAATTGTGTGGTAAAGGGTCGTCCCAATTTAATTTAATGACCCATAGTTGCTGTAAAAATATTTTTTTTTTAATAATGCATGCACAAATTAATCCCAATGGATCAAATATTTTGCAAATAGTAGCTATCACAACTTTCTTTGTAACAACTTGCGGTGGCGATTCCACTTTCGAGGGAAATTGAATGATGTCGAGTTTTGGAGAATAATTCAAACCTAGCACGCTGGATTCTTTAGTCAAATCTACCGGGTCGAATACACTATTTTCACAATCAAGTGCCTGCAAACAGTTTGTACGAATTTTCCGTAAGGGGAAACATGCTGAATCTAATATTTTCTTAACATTTACATATATTTGCTGTAATTCACTTTCACTATTCGCACCAGTATTTAAGTCATCAATGTAAAAATCATTTTTTATTATGTTCGCGATAACGTCATCATTACATTCCTTAGCTAACTGCAGCAAACACCTGGTGCTCAAAAACGGAGCACTGGCCAAGCCATACGTTACTGTATTTAATTGTAGAATCTTCAAGTTTTCGTTATTATTTGGTTCCGTACTAACAGATGAATCCCTCCACAAAATTAATTGAAGATGACGTTGAGATTCATGCAAGGCCGTTTGTCGGTACATTTTCTCAATATCTCCTAAGAGAACAAACCTATGCCCGCGAAATCGTAACAAAATTGAGAATAAATCAGACTGCACTACTGGACCTACAGCCTGTATGTCATTTAATGACTTCCCAGATGAGGTTTTGGCTGAGGCATCAAACACTACTCTCAATTTAGTCGTTTCACTGTTTTCGCGAAGTACACAATGATGTGGAAGGTAGTTCCCAAATCTTGGGCGATCTACTTCACTTAAGTGGCCTAATTCCTTATATTCATTTATAAATTTAGAGTATAACTCCTTAAGTTTCGGGTTTTTATTTAATTTTAATTCTAAATTTAAGAAACGTTTTTTTGCCATGTAATACGAATCACCAAGACTAGTTTCAGGTTCCTTTAAGGGCATACGTACACAAAACCGACCGTTGGATAAGCGAGTGGTGTTTTCTGTAAAGTCAATTTCACAAAATTGTTCCTCTAATGAGTATGTTTTTGTTTCTGTAGGTAGTTCTTCAATCTCCCAAAATTTCTTCAGAGAATTATCAAGATTCGGAAACTGATTGAAATAACAATAGACCTCAGACTTAGATTGACTGTTACCGAGTGGGCCGGCTATTAACCACCCTAATTGTGATTCCTGTAAAGTAGGTTTATTAAACCCTAACTTAATTTGATTTGTACCAATAATATTCCAAAAAATGTCAGCTCCTAAAAGCATATCTATAGCAGAAGGCTGGAAGAACCATGGATCCGCTAATTGTATACCACACGGAATATCTAACTCACAAACGTCTATTTCAACGCTGGGTAAAATACCTGTTATCGTGGGCACTAATAAGCAAGATACTGGAGCACTAAACGTAGATGAACAAGATTTAATCATTACGACACACTGTCCTAAAATGTTAGTTTTAATGTTATTAAGACCGCAAACCTTTCTGGTTTCACTGAAGTTCTTATTGAACCCTAATTTCTCTCTCATAGCTTCGGTTAAAAATGACGATTGACTACCAGTGTCCAATAATGCTCGCGCCTTAACCTTTATATTGTTCAATTCATTAATAATTTCTACCTGCG